AGAATTCGGCTGCAAATGTTGGGTTTACAACAAGACAAGAAAAATAAAAAACTTGACCCCAGATCATGCCCATTCATTTTTGTCGGCATTGACGACAGTACTAAAGGTTACTGTTATTGGAATGGCAACCAAATTCTAACTTCGTGCAATGTTATCTTCTCAAAGGAAGACACGGAAATACGTGACTATGATGATGTAGAAATTCCGATTAATCATCCTATGGAGATTGAGGGGGAGAATGATGAGCAAATCAATCCCCCAACAGACGATAAACTTCCTGATGAGAAGATTGGTACTAAAAATAGTACAACCGAGGAAACACCGAAGCCATCAAAAATTCCACTCCCAACCAGGAAAAGTCTACACGCGTTGCCGAGAAATCACCTTTCCATTACAGATTTCTAAATAATCCTGCGGCAAGAGGCCCTAAGGAATGGCAACACCAGGTACCAGTCCTTACAGAGGAAGAATCTAATTTTGTGCAAAACATGGAAACTTGTGATTATGCAATGCTTGCACAAAAAGCGCTGAATGCAAATGACGATCCGAGAGATGTTGAAGAAGCCAGATCCCGTCAAGATTGGCCTGAATGGAAAAAGGCAATGGACGTGGAAATCCATCAATTAGAGAATCTAGGGACATACATCAAGGTGAAAATCCCTAAAGATAGAGTGGCCATCAATTGCAAATGGGTTTTCTGCCTCAAGCGTGACACGGAAGGCAAAATTGTACAGCACAAAGCAAGATTAGTTGCAAAGGGATTTTCACAAATCCCCGGAATCAATTTCTTTGAGACTTTCGTGCCAGTGATGTGCCTTGATACCTTGCGGCTATTATTAGCTATCACTGCATCATATGGATTAGTCGCCCACGTTGTTGACGTCATGGGAGCTTACCTAAATGGTGAACTCAAAGAACAAATATACATGAAGCAAATCCCCGGATACTAGGACGGCACGGACTCAGTACTATTGTTACAGAGAACACTCTATGGACTACAACAATCCGGACACGTGTGGAATGAAAACTTAAACAGGACTTTCATTCAACTCGGCTTCATGCAGCTATTCTCAGATCAATGTGTCTATATTAGGCACATCAGGAACAACCTCATCATCATCGGAGTTCACGTTGATGACATGTTAATTTTAGCTTCAGATGACGAAGCCATATATTTACATTAATCCTTGTGTTTTTTTTAACTTTGAATGTACATATTTCATGGCAAGAAAATGAGAGCCTCCCAAAAATATAGGCTACTATCTACTCAAACGAGGAGGGAAAAGAAAGAACAGTTAGCTAAGTAACAAAATGGATAAGTAACAGAAATCCAAGAAGTTGTCCAGTATGAATGCAACCACTCCAGAGTTTATAGATGTGCCATTCATGAGAAAATGTGTTGATTTCATGCAATGGAGACCGTGAATACAGTGGAGATGCGATGTGCATCATGCGACACATGCTTATTGTTTAGGGGAGGTCAGAAATCATCAAACCTTTTATGGAAACAGGCATGGGAGCCATGTGGTACAGGGATTTAAACTCAGATTTACTGGTCTGTATATCACAGGTACTTCTCATATACAGAACAGTCACCCTCAGTAAAAACGGTTCGTCAGCTATTGGTCATGTGGTAGTCCACCTATGGTCTTACATGACTAAAAGCAGTGATTTTTACATGATTTTGACTTTGAGTCGACTAGCCAACATCCATCCAAGTCCCATCATAGTCAACTTACTGTCACATTTTGGTATGTTTACATGACTACACTG